TCTAAGTCCCGATATCCTTTGTTACTTGTGAACATGCCATTGACATAAGTGTGGATTGGTTACCCCTTGGCCTTTTCGTTAATCTAAGTGTTGTGGCTAATTGTGTTCGTCTTGTGTAGGTATAATGTCTCATCGTACGAGCAAGCGTGCCAACACCGGTTTCTCCTATGGTACTTCTAGTAGTAGGAGAGGAGGTCCGCGGGAAGAACCCGTTGCCCAAGTGGACGAGGAGGTAGAGCAGATTGATCCATATGCTTATGTAGTCCCTAGGTGCAGGTTTAGCAATGGGGTTGTGTCGGTACATGCTAGGCAATATTATAAGACTTTTATTCATGTGGCTAACCCAGACCCCAATGTTGCTATTGATGATGGGAAGTTGTCCCAGAAGTATTCGGCTATCTATCAGAACATTCCGGCTTTGGGATTTGAGAGCTTGTTCTGTCCTGGTGATGCGGTGAACGTGAACATGGTGATAGAACTTTATGCCAACTGGCAGCCCGAGGCTAGTTTGGATGTTGTTTATGAGGTGGAGGTGCGAGGCAAGAGGATTACTTTTTCCTCCCAAGTGATCAACCAAGTTATACGATTCACAGAGCACTCTCACGGGCTATTTCACAGGTTTCTTTGGAGACCTGACTATGCGGATATTCGCCGCCGTCTATGCGGGGAAAACTCTGTTACTACTTGGTCAAGAACAACAATAACAAACCCAGTATAATCCCACATAGTGGAGTATGCGGGGATAGTGTGTACGCAGACCTAACTTCTATCTCGGGGAGATAGAAAGATTGTTTCCAATAGACCCTCAGCTCAGTGAAGAATAAGTACAATAGTAATAAAAAGAAGACAGCTAGACACAACAATAAGGAGCCATCAAAAAGAAGCATTGAAAACAACAAGATAGTAGGATGATCAAAATTAAAGAAACAACAATACTGGAAACCTAATACTAAAAACAATACGAGAGTACGCACTAATGCTACTAGTAAGAACAATAAACACCACTCGGCCACCTAACATTCTACCATAATCCTCAACCTTCATACCTTCTTATCAAGGGTCATGTCCTTGGTAATTTGGAGCATCACAATATCTTGCCTAATCACCTTACCCTAGTACTTCTTCGGTCTACCCCTACCTCTCCTTATGCCCTCCAAGGTCAACCTCTCATACCTCTTCACTAGTGCGTTTGTGTCTCTCTTTTTCACATCTCCGAACCATCTAAGTCTAGCTTCTGGTATCTTGTCCTTCACAGAGGCTACGCCCACTTTATCCCGAATAAATTTATTCCTAATCTATCAATCATGATATGTCCGCACATCCATCTCAACATCCTCATTTCAACTACCTTTATCTTCTGCACATGTGAGCTTTTAACTAGCTAGAACTTAGCCCCATACAATATAGTCGGTCTAACTACCGCTTCGTAGAACTTACCTTTTGTCACGACCCGAAATTCCCACCCTCGGGACCGTAATGGCGCCTAACATTTCAGTGCGAGGCAAGCCAACGTTAGAATAGTTTTTAGCCATTTTAACCATTCAAATTAAATAATAACCAAGAAACTGAATACAGTGAAATAGAATGAGAAAATCATAATAATATTGATATCTATATACAATCCCATAACTGGTGTCATAAGTACGCGAGCGACTAGAATAATACAAATAATGGTCTGAATGAAAGTATAACTGTCTAAAATAAAATAAACAGCTAGAATAAAGTAGAAGGGGACTTCAGGGCTGCGAACGCCGAGCAGTTGTACCTCAAGTCTCCGTCAGGCAATCAATCCGAGCAATCTACTGATTGTCGCTAGGACCGACTCCAAAAGCTACCCAAGAAATGCAGAATGTAGTATGAGTACAACCGACCCTATGTACTCTGTAAGTGCCGAGCCTAATCTCAACGAAGTAATGACGAGGCTAAAGCGGGTCACTTACAATAACTTGTACGCAGTATAATAATAGTAACAGGAAAGGAACACGGGAACAGTAAAGCTGTTAACTTATGGAAATAAACTCAATCCTCGAAATCAGTAAAGCCAGAAACATCAGTCCTCAGAATCTCGTATGAAAACACTGAAAGCTAACATGATGCAACAATGAATACAAAATTCAAATCCGTTGCGGCGCGCAACCCGATCCCACCATATTATCAGAATTAATATCATAATCCTCCCTTATTTCACCATATCAAAATAACATACAAAATCTGTTGCGGCGTGCAACCTGATCCCACCATATCAATACCAATCCTCCCTTATTTCACCCATTGCGGTGTGCAACCCGATCCATAAGCAAAATCGATAGATGTAATCAACTCAACAACTCAAATCAAAAGAATCTCCACAATTAAAGAATATGAAAGCAAATCCATAAAGGAACCTCGTACCAAATCGAGGAATGCTACAATTAATACTAAGCAACAAGACAAACTAAATATATGACAATTAAAATGTACAAGTAAGACATGGAGCATTTAATCATGGAATCATGGAAGAAATGAACATTTCAATACAAGATTAAATAGAGGACAAGTAACAAGTTTACGGCATAGAAAGCAACTAAGACATGTAATAGTTAAGATATGGAATGAGATAATTAATGAAATACGGGAAAGCATGAAAACAAATATTTTGACGGCTTATATACGCTCGTCACCTCGCATATAGGCCGCTACACATATAGTTCACATAATACACAGCTCAAGGGTTCCTAATTCCCTCAAATCAAGGTTAGACCCCATACTTACCTCACTTCGTAATCAAATCAAAGCTCAACCGAGGCCTTTCCTCGAAAATCCGCCTCCAAACCAATCAAATCTAACCAAATCGACTTAATAACATCAAACAATGCTAGGGAAATCAATTACAATACATAAAGTTACGATCTTTACTCTTTTGCCAAAAAGTCAGCAAAAGTCAACCCCGGATCCGCTTGGTCAAAATCCGAGATTCGGACCAAAACCTAATTACCCATTCACCCTCGAGCCTAACCCCCCAAAAAATCTCAATTTCAGAAAAATTCCTAATTCTACCCAAATCCCTAATTTCTACCATATAAATCCTAGATTTGATATTGAAAACACTTGGAAAGTAATGGGTAATTGAGAAGAAATAGATTAATGTTGCTTACTAAAGTTTTTGGAAAGAAAATCTCTTGGAAAAATCACCTCTAGGGTGTTTAGGGTTGAGAGTTTGTGAAAAATGAGCTAAATCCCGTTTTCTCAACTTTTTGTCCAAGCGCAGATGTCGCAAATGCCCTGGGGTTCGCAAATGTGAACCCCCTAAAGGCAAAGAATCCACCGCAAATGCGAAGAATCCCACACCTCTGTTGTCATCGTATGATTTGTTCGCTATTGCGAACTTGGACCCTCCGCAAAAGCGACTCAGTGATCGCAATTGCGACAAACACCCAGGCCAGGCCATCATCGAAAATTCGTTAGGGAGTTCGCAAATGCGAACTCTTCAGGCCACTATGCTCTTCGCAAATGCTAGCATGAAGCTCGCAAATGCGGCTTTCGCAAATGCGAGATTTGAGCACCAGCAAAAATCTGATCTCCTATGAACTCTCCGAAACGCGTCCGAAACTCACCCGAGCCTCGGGACTCTAAATCAAACATGCACACAAGTCCAAAAATATCATACGAACTCGCACGCGCAATCAAAATACCAAGATGATACCTAGAACTACGAATCGGACACCAAAACGAATGAAATTTTCAAAGAAACTTAAGAGCATGCAAATTTACAACCGGACGCCTGAATCACGTCAAATCAACTCTGTTTTGCACCAAATTTTGCAGGCAAGTCATAAATACCGAAATGAACCTATACCAAATTTCGGAATCGAAATCCGAAGTGGGTAGCAACAAAGTCAACCTACGGTCAAACTTAGGAATTCTTTAAACCTTCAATCTACTAATTTTCAACAAAACACGTTAAATCAAGCTAAGAGACTTCTAAATTCGATTCCAGGCATATGCCCAAGTCCCAAATCACGATACAGACTCACCGGGATCGTCAAAATACTGATCCGGGTCCGTTTACACAGAATGTTACCGTAGTGAACTCAAATGAGTTTTAAGGCAAAGTTTCACATTTTCATCAATTTCTCACATAAATTTTTTCGAAAAAAGACACGGACTGCGCACGCATATCGAGAAAGGCTAAATAGAGCTATTCGACGTTTCAGAATACAGAAATGAACGGCGTTTCAGAATACAAAAATAAACGATAAAACTATAAATGACCTTTCGAGTCATCACACCTTTAAGTTTTGGTAACACCGTCTTATCATACAAAACACCGAAAACAAATTTCTATTTCAACCTGCCCCATTACGATACGTGACATCCTCTCATCAATTTCTTCATCCTCTTGTATAACCACACATTTTTTCTAAAATATTTGGGGGTAGGGAAAGAGAGAACGGAGAGAAAATCGATCTTTTATCAACAGGTAAAAAATCAACTAGCCAAACAACGGAACGATTAAAATATCCCAAATTTTTTAAAATAAAAGTTCTACCTGATAGATCGATCGTTAGGATGCAAGCTTAGCTTAACATAACAGCCATAAACAGTTCCAGCGAGAGGGATCAAGAAGATTTGAATCTTATTAGAAGAAACAGCAAATTACTTCAAAACCTTACCAAGGAAATTTTTAGCTTTTTTGCATTTGCAAACTAGACATAATAGTTTTACTTTGTACACATGCTCTCCTCGCTAATTTGTGTCTATTTTTCAAGTTGAAGATAGTAAAGGACAACGAATCCTAAAACGCACTCTCTCTCTCTCTCCCCCTCCTTTGAGGAAATTCCCTCCTTCCACCCC